AAATGTTTAACAATTCAAGGCAATGAAGTGTTTAGTTTTCAATCGGTTTCACTGAAATTTCCCGGCTGCCTGACAGTTACATCATCTGGCGTTGTTGTGGTAGTAGACCGAGCTGGAAATGGTTCGTTAAATGCCATTCCACCCAATGGAAAAAAAGATAAAACATTGCTTCAAAAATTCGATAAAATGACTAGAATGCTGACGGATGTTTGGATAGACGATCGAGGAGAAATAATTTGCGTTTGTGGAGGACAGGACATTGAGATTTACAGAATTGAATCCGAAGGATAGTGTCAATTATTCTTTCGCCAGTTGAAATTCAGTGTGAGGCAAACACAATATTGTAACCTTAGCAAGCATATTTTCGGGTATTAGTGTCGTTTTATTTCAAATATATAATAAAAAGGAAGAAATTTAAATAGCAAAACTGATTATCAAAACTTGATCCTCAATAATGCTAAATGACCGAAATTATTGAATAAAACCTTATATGAATAATTGTCCTTTTATGACGATAAACGATTTTTTTTTATCTGTTACTATGCCCTACCTAGGGCCATTATGTTTTTTCGGTCTGTGCGTCCGTTTGTTCGTTCTTCCGTCCGTCTTTTCATCTTCAGGTTAAAGTTTTAGGTCAAGTCATGTTAAAGTTTTTGGTCAAGTTGGTTTTGCTGAAGTGGAAGTTCAATCAACTTGAAACTTAGTGCACATGTTCCCTATGATATGATCTTTATAATTTCAATGTCAAATTAGAGTTTTTATCTCAATTTCACGGTCCAATGAACATAGAAAATGATAATGCGAGTGAGGCATCCGTGTACTATCTACACATTCGTGTTTAATAATTACTATAGTATAGTAGATAGGCGAAAATAGAGGCGATAAATATCAAAAGAACTGTTAAACTAATAAATCGAAAATAAGCTGAAATTGCCATTGCACAAAATTACCGAAAGACAAACAACAGTATACAAAACACAACATAGAATACTAAAGACAGATCTCGACCAACACAAACCCCACAAAAACTGGAGTATATTCAGGGTAAGTTGATCCTGCTATACATGTGACACCCGTCGTGTTGCTAGTGTAAGTACAAATCCGGTCATAAGTCTAATTCTGTAGGTGAAATTCGAGGAGGATGGAATTATGGTAACTACTAGTACAATATTTTTTGGAACATATCCGTCATCTGTGAAACAGATATTCCATAACGGTCAACCAACGTATGATGGCGTCGTTATCATTTTTCGAAGGAATGGTTTCAACTTCACCACTTAGACGATTGGTTTAAGAACTTCCTTGTAAGTGAAAACTGTAAACAGTAAAAAGTCAACATGAATCATCAATTTACCCCTTTTATGAGTGGTTTTACTTCTATGCTGATTGTATCCACTTTTTGTGGTTTTGGAATAAATTATAAAAGACAGATAAAGAGTGTAAATAGCAAAAGTGATAAGAAAAATATGATATACAAATAAATAAAAATGGTTGAACTGGTCCTTCTTTTAGTAGTGATTGTCCTTAATGATAACCGGTCATGTGGTACACCACTGTGACAGTCATCAGCGAAGATCTCGAGCTGTTTATGTTTTGATAAAAAAAATCAAAACATCTGTTTATAGTCCTTTATTCCGGTTTTAAGTGTATGCTTTTTAAGTGTATGAAGTTAATGAATATGTAATAGAACAACCTCTAACAATGTCATTTGATAACGCTGACATAAATTTGGGGCAGGTGATTAAAGTGGGTATATGGGACGACGATTTATATATTGTATCGAGTGATAAAATACAAAAGTTCAAATCATCATTACACTCAAAAGTAAAAACATTTCACTTTGTGTTCTGGATCAAATATAAGTGATACGCCTATAATAAACAGATAAGCACTACGTGATGGTACCTGGTTGTATGCATCAAGCGAAAAACAAGTCAAATGTTTGACAATTTTAGGCAATGAACTGTTTAGTTTTGAATCGGTTTCACTGAAAAGTCTCGGTTGTCTGACTTTTATGCCATCTGGTGTTGGTGTGGTAGTAGACCGTGCTGGAAATGGCTCATTACATGCCATTTCATCTAATGGGAAAGATGATAAAATATTGCTACGAAAATTTGAAACAGTTACTAGAACATGTAGAATGCCGATGGATATTTGGTCAGACGAACGAGGAGAAATAATTTGCGTTTGTGGAGGACGGTACATAGCGGTTTATCGAACTGATTTCGAAATATGATCTGAATGATTCAATCATGTGTAAAAATTTAAGTGGTTAGTGAAGAACGGCCTTTACTGTAACAATTGTAAATTTTCTAAATATCTTGCAAAATGTTAGTATTTACCTAAACAATATATGTATAAAGGACATTATAACCAAAACCCAAATTTTGTTGGAGATAAAAATTGTCTGTGGGATTTCCAAAAGCATGTTAAATTTGTTATTGGTATTAAAAATTTAAAAAAAATACCCACTTCAGCAACATAAAGCGCTAAATAACATTAATTTTTTATTGAAATATGAAAAATTATTGAATTATGTTTTAGTATTTTATTTGTACTAATATTAAAATTCGGGTAAAATCTGACAACCTGTTTATGAAACAAATACAACGGGAATTAATCGTATCTCTTTATTCACAGCAGGGATTATCCAATAAAGGATAATCTTATTATGTCCCGATAACATATAAAGTGACAGTTTAAAATTAGAACAAGTTAAAGTGTTTGGTGAGGGTAGTTTTTGTCCAGCCTGCGACTCACAGAAAGCTCGACATAAGGATAGTGATCCGGCGGCGGCGGTGGCGTTAACAAACTTCTTAAAAGCTTAATATTTTGGAAGGTAGAAGACCTGGATCCTTCATACTTTGTATATAGATGCCTTATGTTACGAAGTTTGCGTCTGCCATATGTCCATTGTCCTTGATTTCTTTTTTATGGTTCAGTGAATACTTAAAAAAAAATCAGATTTTTAGTATTCTTAACTTCTTTCTTATTATGAGTAATAGGATAACTATATTTTGTATGTTCGTACATTGTAAGGTCTTTATGTCTGTCAGACAGTTTTCACTTGACCTTGACCTCATTATATGGATCAGTGAACAAGTTAAAATTTTCGTGGTCAAGTCCATATCTCAGATACTATAAGCAAAAGGTCGACTATATTTGGTGTATGGAATGATTGTTAGGTGTACATGTTCAACTGGCAGGTGTCATCTGACCTTGACCTCTTTTTTATGGTTCAGTGGTTACAGTTAAGTATTTGTGTTTTGGTTCGGTTTTTCTAACACTGTATGCAATAGGTCAACCATATTTGGTGTATGAAAATATTTTACGATGTACATGTCAGTCTGGCATGTTTTCTTTGACCTTGGCAACTTTTTTACTGTTCATTGCTCAATGTTACGTTTTTGTTTTTTGTCTGTATTTCTAATACTATAAGCAATAGGTCAACTAAATGTGGTGTATGGAATGATTGTAATGTGTATATGTCTGTCTGGAAATTATCATCTGACCATGACCTCATTTTCATGGTTCATTGGTCAATCTTACGTTTTCCTTGTTATGTTTGTTTCTTAGATAGTATATGCAATAGGTCAACTATATTTAAAGCATATAATAATTGTAAGGTGTACATGTCTGTCTGGCAGGGTTCCTCTGACCTTGACCTCATTTTCATGGTTTATTGATCAATGTTAAGATTTCATTGTAAATTTTGTTTCTTTGATGCTATGTGCAATAGGTCAACTATATTTAAAGCATATTTAGTGTATGGAATGATTGTAAGGTGTACATGTATTTCCAGTGTGGTTTATCTGACCTTGACCTCATTTTCTTGGAACATGTTGAGTTTATGTGATAGTTGTAGTTAAGCTTTATATTAAGGACTATCAACATAAAATCAATCGTTAGTAAAGAAGGCGAGACATTTCAGCGTGTACACTCTTGTTAATATAGTTGGGGATATCAACTTTAAAATAAGAACAAATATTCTTTTCGAGTCGAACTTTTCAAATTGTATACCAAGTTTCTACTTCGATCCCGATTTCACTGTTACCTTAATATGGACACATGATTGTGCGAGCGGGGTATGGTGTCCTTTGAACACATATTCTTGTATTTTATTAATGTTAGCATAGTCTTCTCGAACATTGCTTGTATATTGATCTGTTCGCATTTTTGCTTTAGACATTCTAAAATACTGCTGCGTATCATCCAGTTTTGTTTTCCTTTTGGAAGGAAGCTAGGATATCAGACTTCGTTTATATGAGGAACTTTTCGCCGAACAATTCATTGAGCTTGGTAAGAAATTAATTAATCTGATTGCATAGCTACCTTTAAAACCTTGTAAGATTTAGATGCTTATTCAATTTTTTCCAAAATCCAGTCCAAGAATTCACAATGATATACGCTAGTATTACATTTTAACAAAGAGACAGAGGATGCAGGACCAATTCATCTCTGTAGAAAATAAGATAAATCAATTCTGGTTCAACTGTATACCAGATATCATTAATGATCATTATAGGTTCCCCTTTGAATGAACTGATGACAAACGTTAATGAATTGTAGACGCCAACACCACCATTGTTGCAAGACATAAACGCGTTAGAAAGAAGATTTTTTTAACTTATCATTATCCATTCGGATTCTGGAATCGTAAAAAAAGAAGAAAAAAAACGAAGTTTGATACAATTCTTTGTCATTTTGCAATCTGTTTATGATATTTCATCATATATTCAAATTTTCATGGTTATGTGCACAGTTATCTTAATGGTAATATTCAATGAGAAATTATTATCAACACAACTATGAATTTAACTAAAAGTTTATATAGCATTCAGTGCATAGATAAATTTGCTAAAATACATCCAAATTGTGAAAATAGAGAAGTGGTAAAAGAATTCGGACAAAATAATAACAGTATATTAAATGCATTTAAATCAAATTAAATACTTTAAATAGACCTTTGTGTTCGCTTTGTACCAGGAAGTTTAGGAAAATCAATGCAAGATGGCTGAATCAAATTCACAACAGTTGACATGCCCTATTTGCTTAGAGGTATTGAAATCACCAAAAATTTTGCCTTGTCTTCATTCGTTTTGTCAACAATGCATACATGAAATCATCTTGTCCTTAATACAAAACAAAGAGCCGAAACCAAAACAATTTAGATGTCCTATTTGTCACACCGTAGTTAAACCAAAAGACCCAACGACCAACATTGAAAAATGGGCTTCGTTACTGCAAGACAACAATGCTGTGGGAACTGCTGAAAGGCAGGAGTGTCATACTTGTAAACACCATAACGAAACATCAGTTGCCAAGTTCTGGTGTAAGAACTGCATTGAAGCTTTTTGTGAAAAATGCAATGCTATGCACGGCTGGGTGAAGCTTACTTCATTCCACGATGTAATCCCGATTGAAGATGCAAATTACACCGATTCTTGTATCGATCTGAAAGTTATATCAGAAAAGTGTTGCCTTCACCCTTTTACTAATATCGAGGCTTTCTGTTTCGATCATGAAGAACTCTGCTGTTTACTATGCTTAACTTCAAGTCATCGAAAATGCGAAAATGTTCAAGCGTTTTCTGAAATGACAGAAACCAATCGAAGTAATGAAACATTGGAAGAAGTCTTGACGAAAATTAAACTTCAAACGGAAAAACTACTGGAAGATAAAGAAAAGAAGACGAAAAGATTAAACGAAAGTGCTAAAACAATAGAGGAAAATGCGGCAACATTCGTTCAGAAAATTAAGTGTAGGCTCGATGACTTGTTTGGAAACTTTATCAAACAGTTGCGTATCATAACGGAAGAGCAGGAATCAAACCCCCAAACAGATATAACATTTCTCAGAGATTTCATAAGAACACTCGGGCACTGGATTGAAGTAACCGAGGTCGTTAGAAAATTTGGTACAGAAACACAATTGTTTATTCATTCAAAAACTATGAATGGGCAGATCAAGGAAAATATTAGCCAACTTGCTATAAGATTAAGTCCTGATGTTGACATAAGTCTTTCATTCAATGAGAACAATATTCTTACACAGGTAGCTACCGAACTACTGGACATTGGAAAAACGACTGTTAAAGCGATACCTTCAGAAGCACGAACAAAGGAACTTTTTAACCTATGTCGGGAGACTGGCATAAAACCACCTGTTGACTTTAGTAGCATGTCAGTTAGAAAAGAAAGGAACATATTAATTAAAGATGCTGATATTACATGTGGAGTTTTCATTGATGACAACCATATCATTGTAGGAGCTGACTTTAAGAAGAAAAGAGATCGAAGACTGATATATGTGAATACCAAGACTGGTGATGTGATAAACACTACTGTCCTTGCTGGAGGTTCTCCTAGCTTCAAATGTTTATGTTTTGATAAAAAATCAAGTCATATCTTTATTGCTACCTCTTCTTCTTATGGTCCAATCATGATGGCGGGAGTAAATGAACATTTTATAGAAAAACCACGAACATTGTCATTTCGGAACATGGCCCCGTTGACTCGGGTTGGAGTAATGGCTGTTTGTGACGACCATTTGTGTGTAATAGCGAATGAAAGAATACAGAAGTTCAAATTACCAATACAACCAACAGCAAAGGAACATGTCACTGTGTGTCTTGAAAACAACACATTTAAGATTCCAATGTCATCTGGATTAGCAATACGTCATGGAAAATGGTTCTATACATCAAGCGGCAGAGAAGTAAAATGCTTGACATGTCAAGGCAATGAATTGTTTTCTTATCAATCATATGCACTGAAGTACCCTGGTTGTCTAACAATAACGTCATCTGGTGTAGTTTTGGTGGTAAATCAAGCAGAAAATGGATCATTACATGCTATTTCCCCAAATGGAAAAGAACAGAAATTATTGTTACGAAAGTTCGATACGATAATTGCTAAAATACCGATTATCATGAGTGTATGGACTGATGATCGTGAAGAAACCATGTGTGTTTGTGGAGGACAGTACATTGAAGTGTACAAAATGTATTCCGAATGATAGTGTCAATAATTCTTTCGCCAGTTGAAATTCAGTGATAAGCACAACATTTATTGTAACATTAGCAAAACTTATTTTGAAATTTATGAATCACGTATTTCAATTACATATATCAATCAGTTTTCACATAAAATCATCTTGAGATTATTGCAGCGGACTTTTTTTTGTTGCAAAACAACATGGTAGGTTCAAAACGAAAGCAGATCAATACTTTCAATAAAAATTAAGAATAAAAACGTTTAAAAATATTCTAGCTACTGGAACGACTGTTAAATGCAGTAATTGTCTGATATTTTGAAAACCGTTAGAGATAGAGAAAATTAGGCAATGGCAATAATGCGAAGAATATCAAAATCTACCTACTTTTTATTTCCCCAAAATTATCAGGTGACACCCTTATAGGAATTATTGCCATTACATTATGAAGTTATTTGTTTGTCGTATGTTTGACTGTTTGCATATTTTCTAGAAAACTATAATAAATAAGTAAAATTTGTAAAAAGCTAGCAAAACTTATTAGTCATAGAAAATGATACAAAATTCTATTTGACCAAAATCAATTAAACGACTCTTAACGTGAGTTATTGCCCTTTAATGCCAATTTATGATTAATTATCGCGTATTTGGCCGTTAATTTTATAACTTTAATAGATAGGTAAAAACTGTAAACGGAAAATTATAAGCAAGACCAGATGTACAACGAAGTAAAAATGGCCAAAATAATCAGTCGACTCATTATAGGAGTTTTTCCCCTTCAATAATGATGTTTATTAGTGTTTGCTCTTTAGGGGAAAACTATGTATAGGAGACAGAGAGAATGTATGTATAATAAGTAATCAGCAAAATAAGATCTACTAATAAATGAAATGACTGAACTCAGTGGTCAATTGATTTTTGCAATATATGCTGATTAAAGATGGCGATTTTTAAATACAGCTCGTGAAGATTTTGCCTATTAACCCGTCAACAGCCCACCCATGTTATGCTTTGTATTTTTCATAGTTCATAACAAATTACTAGTAAGCTAGCTACTATATGTTTATGGCGTAAATTTGATTAGAATACTTTTAGGAAACTGCTTCTTTTGGTAAAATCAGAAAAACCAAAATCCTAAAATTTTGGATCTCATAATTAGTGTTAAAATGTACGGAAATATTCACTCAAAGGGTTGGATGAAGTAAAGAAATATAGTTATTCCAGGACTCTCCCGTCCGGCAGTAATTTAAAACCCCTGCTAATATCTTTGCGCGTCCGATTGGCTTTGTTGGATGTATAAATTTATATGTAGCCACTTCCGGTCGGAATGAGGGCGTAAGAGAACCTTTGAAACAACTCTTTGACGGGTCCGTAGGTAGGTAGCCTGATGCAACTTGAAAAATATCATAGGAACTTGACTGTTAGCAAACAGCAATCAATAAATCAATTCAGTTGATTTTGAATATTCTTAATACATGCATTATTTGTTTCTTCCTGCGTTTATATTATTTAAAACGTCATGGCGTCAAATATAAAAGGAATGGAAGTATACAATCCTTAGACAAACAAATTCAGCTTTTTACAGTAGTGTTATTGAAGAATGATACGTATATATCTCCGAATAAGGATATTAATTATTTCCTTTCTATAATTAATTCTGGTTAAGAAAAAAGCGCTAGACAATATCAAAAATTTATTGTCCACATAACATGGACGTGCTGATAATCAAATTTCAGTGATTAGCAAGAAAACTAATGTTCTCGTATCGTGATTAATGAGCTGTGTTGGACACTTAGTCTCGCCGATCCATTAAACGCCTTCTGAAATATAATCCCTTTCATTTTTGATTTTTTTCTAAAAATGTGTCGTCACCAACATTGATCATCAGTTTAACCGCAAGCTTACAACCCGTTTAGATAGCGTTTTGCATGAGTAAATTTGTGTTTATGGTCCAGTGGTGGTTATGTCGGGTAAAACTCAGAACTTATATTGTAATGAGATGTAGCCAGTACCATTCCATATGTGAAATCAATTATAAAACGTCATTCAGCTGAAATTGGTATATGAATATGTCGAGCTTGCAAAAATATTTACCGAATTTCAATCATTATTGTACATGTATAGCATTGTATAATGATTTATTGTTATATATTTATGACAATTATCCATATTTCCAATCTGATCGAAGGTTGGACACAGGATCTGTTTTTTGGCCAAATTTCAAGACATATTGTCACTTTTTTTCAAATGAATAAAATCTGCGAATTTTTAAAGGCATAATCGTTTGCACGAACAATGTGAAAAAATGGTGTTTAATTATGTGGGTGGAGCTAATATTTTTTTAATCTTAGGCCTTCATACGGCATTGGTTGTTTTCATACGAAATGAAAGTATATGACAAAATCAAATTATTCGGCTTTCAGCCAATAATTAAAAGGTCAGTATTTATAATTGAGTACGTATATTCAAGTAATTTGAACTCATGTTGATAGTTGTCTCATTTGCAATGATCATAAAACATCTTTGTTTTTATTTTGAAAAACGATAGAGTAAAAAAATAATGGAATGATATATTATATTCTATAAAAACGAGTAATTTTTCACCCATTAATACCATTGTTCATATGTAAACAAGTGCGCAAAATGTGCACGTCTGTCGTGAGAAGTTACACATTTTGGAATGGACAAATCCCAATATCTAAATCGCTATGCAGAGAGGCATTAGTTGTGATAGTAATAAGATGAGCATTCCATAACATGAAAATCAATATCAATTTCAGAAGATTAAATTCTTGTAACTATAGCAAATAATTCAAGGTAAATACAATGAGAACCAATTAATCAAATCATATTATTGTCTATATACATATATTTAGTGTGTCCTTAATATGAATATTAGCGCTATGTACTGAGAAACAATATTTTGTTTGCTTGTACTTTTAATGTTGTTCCATAGTCATGACAGTCATCTGAATTTCTGAACATGTTCAAAATTTCACCAAAAGGTCCAGATTTCTTGTACCTTCATTAAACGTTTTTGATACTGACACGGAACATCCTCATAATCGACATCATCATCAACACTCACGTCATCATCACAGAATTATATGACTTTTCAATCTTTCCCTCTTTTTTTTTTTCTTTTCTATTCTATTTTACCTATAGCCCGTATTATATTCTATAAACTGTTTGCTTTACATGTATGCTCATTATCACTGAACTAGTATATATATTTGTTTAGGGGCCAGCTGAAGGACGCCTCCGGGTGCGGGAATTTCTCGCTGCATTGAAGACCTGTTGGTGACCTTCTGCTGTTGTCTGTTCTATGGTCGGGTTGTTGTCTCTTTGACACATTCCCCATTTCCATTCTCAATTTTATCATTATACTATTATTGTATATATTTATATTGTATTATGGAGAAGACTTCATAAGCATGATTTACTTGTGTCTAATCCATTTTGCTTTAATTTAGCAAATAAAATATGTTTAAACTAAATCTGAATTTTCTACCAATAAATGATTTTAAAAAATTTTAAAAAAAGTATAACTTACGTGATTCGTTTTTAATTTTTTTTTAATTATTAACGAAAAGTATGTTAAACCGCAACTTATATTGTAATTTTCTGCATTACAATACGTGATGTAACATTGCATTGCACTGCACAACTGGAATGTTCCGCGGAGAATATATAGATATTCTCAATAAACATACCCTTTTACGTCATTTGGTCTCGCGTGGAGAGTTGTTTTATTGGCAATTATATCACATCTATTTTTTTTATATACATAAATCATCTCCATATAAACAGAGACATATATACATATATGTCTCTGATATAAACACGTACCAATTTGAACTAATTCACTTAATCTATGACGAACACTTAGAAAATGATTTTAAAAATAGAACGTATGACGTTTCTTTTAATTTGTCGCGTCTTCAGAAGACATCGATCGGTATATGGTATACGTGTTTATTAACCTTCGTGCGTCAACTTTTACATATTATGTGATTTCAACAAAATATATATATATATATATATACTAGTGATTAAGGGGGACATGTGTTGTGTATTATCAGTCTGTAAGCAGTGTAACAAGTAGTTATGTATTATCAGTATGTGAGGACGGTAACTAGTGTTGTGTAGTATCAGGCTGTGATAAGGGTAACAAGTGTTGTGTAGTATCTTTCTGTTCAGTGATAAGGGTAACAAGTGTTGTGTAGTATAAGTCTGTGATAAGGTGAACAAGTGTTGTGTATTATCGGTCTGTAAGGAGTGTTAAAAGTGTTGTGTACTACAACTCTGTGATAAGGGTGACAAGTTTTGTGTATTATCAATCTGCAATGGGGGCAACAAGTGTTGTGTATTACCAGCTAGTCTGTGATAAGAGTGACAAGTATTGTGTTTTACCAATCTGCAAGGAGTGTAACAAGTGTTGTGTATTATCAGTCTGTAAGGAATGTTACAAGTGTTGTGTATATAGTCTGAGATATCACTTGAAAAATGTAAACAATAGGTTGGGATAATTAAGTCCCAAATGCTTTATTTCTTATTATGAGCTGTATATAGTTTAACTCTACATAAGGTCATAGCACCTGATCCTGATCCTAAGGTCAAAAATTTACACGACTTGTCTCTCTTGTACAGAATATTCCTCATACGGTGCACCATTTCTCCTGGTAATTTCTCATGTAGTACTTTAAAAAGTTGTTAGTTTAGGCGCAGGATCGGGTATCAGGACTTGCTAGTTCTTGAAAACGCCCTGATTTAGATATAATTTTGCACCCATTTTGCAAAAAAAAAATCAAATCTTAAATATTGCCTTACAGATTATTTTTTAAAGTTAAAAAAAAAAACGCTTGACTCCCTCTGTTATTCCGTCATCCTGTCAGTCCAAAAGACCTTGGGTAGAAAACTTAAGTCCAAGTTTTCTTGGCTTCTGTCAACGGAAATGATAATTTTATGTTTGGTCTGCAGCTTCACAATGTTGAGTGAGCGTGTAAGCAATTTTAACATCTGCCGTGCAGCCGCTTACTGTTTGCCGATAGTTTGAAATCTTAAAACACTCACTGAACAAGGAAGATATTAGTTAAGTTTTCTTGGATTCAATGAAAGGGAATGATATCTGCTTACTAGTATGTTTCATAATACATACCTCAATCAATTGCATGAGCGATGCAGGTACAGACCATGTATTGGTCTTTTTATAATTTTTCATTAGGCACGTCTTTCAACAGAGCTAGATATACTTAAAGATACACAAAACGGTCACATTTTATATCAACAGAAAAAGTCTCCTTTGAAAACGTCCCATACAATATGGACCAAAAAATTGACTTCTTATAATGAGCAATTAAAAAATTGTCACAGGCATCCATTTCTTACAAAATTCATAAGTCCTAGCATAGACTATTGTTATATTGTTCTAAAAATGTAGAAAATAAAAAAAAAATCGTAAGGGTTCCACAGAACCCAGTGTCTCGCCTACTTTTGCTGTTAATCGCAGGCTCACCAAAAATGGGGAAAAAATTATTAAATGGTTTCCTCTAGATACTATCTTTTGATTGTAAGAAGCTTCTATCCAAGTTTGGTAAAAATCCAGGATGGCTTATGAATCTAATAAATGTTTTAAAAACTTTAACTGCAGACTGTATGTAATGTTAACTGGAAGAAAAACTAAGTCCATTTATAAGTAATATACAGAAAAACAGGAAATAAATTTTTACAAAATTTCCTTCTAGATACTAGCTTTTGATCATAAACAAGCTTCTGTCCAAGTTTGGTAGAAATCCAGGATAGTTTAAGAAAGCTATTAAAATTTCAATAAATTGCTTCGCCGAGCACAGCTGGATACGACCGCAGAGGTCCAATCCTGAACAGTTGGGGCAAAAAAAGGACACAATATTCGCGCTTGATACAGGTCTGAATTTGGATTGTAATCAAAAATTTTACACATAATTTTTTTCTTACACAGAATAACTGTAGTCAAAGAACTTAGAATTGGTTATATGATTTGAATTTATATTCAATTTGTTGCTTTTGTGCAATACACTTTGCTGTTGCGAATTGACCCCCCCTTCCCCACAAAAAAAAAAAAAAATTACCCCCACTTTTTTTTTGCTTTTGTGCAATACACTATGCTGTTGTGTATTGACCCCCCCCCCCCCCCCCCCCTTTTTTTTGTGTTTGGATTACCACCCTTACACTGCTTTTAAATTGTCTTAAGTAATTGTCCATTAACCAGGAAATCCTTTTTTTCCCCCTTTTTGCCCCTAATTCCTAAACGGTTTGAGCAATAACCCCCCAAAGCAAATCCTAACCATCCCTTTGTGCTATGGAAACTTGTGGTATAATTTCAGAGAGATCCATACACCGTTCCACAAGTTATTGTCTGGAAACTAGAAAAATGCTTATTTGGGCCCCTTTTTGGCCCTTAATTCCTAAACTGTTAGGACCATAACCCCCAAAATCAATCCCAACCTTTCTTTTGTCATTATAAACCTTGTGTTTAAATTTCATAGATTTCTATTTAATTATACTAAAGTTATTGTGCGGAAACCAACTGTCTTCTGACGACAACGTGATACCAATATATGACCGCAAAATTTTTCTGCCGACGATGGAATGTAGGATCGCTGTGTCTCGCTTTTGCGACAAAAGTCACAGACTCGACAAAAATCAGTTATTGGATATTAAAGAATGAGAATTTAAGCATCAGTGCAATTTAAGCACTCCTCATTACAGAATCTTGGATTGTTTGGAGGTCTGTTCAAACTCATTTTTCAATTATTTAGTATGGATTCAAAATTAAATATATTGATGCAGGAAATAGGGATACATCTACAAAATGAATGCTGAAAGGAAACTTTTGTCTTGTTTCATAAATAAACAACAGTGAAAAAACTGTTATAATAGGTACAATTTGGGTACAGTTCATCACAGATTAGATATAGGAAGATGTGGTATGAGTGCCAATGAGACAACTCTCTATCCAAGTAACAATTTATAAAAGTAAACCATTATAGGTCAAGGTACTGCCTTCAACACGGAGCATTGGCTCACACCCAACAGCAAGCTATAAAGGGCCCCAAAAAATTACTAGTGTAAAACCATTCAAACGGAAAAACCAACGGTCTAATCTATATAAAAATTTGTAAGGGTTCCGCGGAACCCAGTGTCTCGCCTACTTTTTCTGTTCATCACAGGCTCAACAAAAATGAGGAAGTAAATCAATAAAAATATTCCTCTTGATACTATCTTTTGATTGTAAGAAGCTTCTGTCCAAGTTTGGTAAAAATCCAGGATAGTTTATGAATCTAATAAATGTTTAAAAACTTTAACTGCAGACTGAATGTAATGTTAACTGGAAGAAAACAAAAATTTCCTTCTAGATACTAGCATTTGATCATAAACAAGCTTCTGTCCAAGTTTGGTACAAATCAAAAATAGTATAAGAAAGTTATTAAAATTTTAAAAACTTTAACCACAGAGTGAATGTGTTGTTTCCTGGCAGAAAATTTAAGTCCATTTAAAAGTAAAATACGGAAAAAATGGATTTATTTTTTTACCAAATTTCCTTCTAGATACTAGCTTTTGATCATAAACAAGCTTCTGTCCAAGTTTGGTACAAATCAAAAATAGTATAAGAAGGTTATTAAAATTTTAAAAACTTTAACCACAGAGTGAATGTGTTGTTTCCTGGCAGAAAATCTAAGTCCATTTAAAAGTAAAATAAGGAAAAAATGGTTTTTTTTTTTTACAAAATTTACTTCTGGATACTATCTTATGATCATAAACAAGCTTCTGTCCAAGTTTGGTAGAAACCCAGGATAGTTTAAGAAAGTTATTAAAATTTTAAAAACTTTAACCACAGAGTGAATGTAATATTTCCCAGCAGAAAAACTAAGTCCATTTATAAGTAAAATACGGAAAAAATGGAATTTTATTTTTACAAAATTTACTTCTGGATACTATCTTATGATCATAAACAAGCTTCTGTCCAAGTTTGGTAGAAATCCAGGATAGTTTAAGAAAGTTATTAAAATTTCAAAAACTTTAACCACAGAGTGAATATTTGTGGACGCCGCCGAGGACGACGACGCCGACGGAATGTAGGATCGCTATGTCTCGCTTTTTCGACTAAAGTCGAAGGCTCGACAAAAACGAGAAACGAGAAACATGTATGAACTTCATAAACAGACGACAACTACTGTAATCAGATTCCTTTTTTAGGGCTTCTTGTAATAGTCAAGAAGAAGAACAGCAATAATAGCACTGTTCCATTTATGTTTTGTCTTGCCATAAGTATTTCATGACATTATCTCCATTACAACCATCTCATATCCTTTATCTTCAACCACATCTTCCTTATATATTCATGGTAAATCTATTTCCAGCTTTCAATTACTTTTTTAACTTTTTTTGTTACTTATATAGGTAATTTTTGTTTTTAATAATTATTGAATTACTCAATAGAATTATTTTAAATTTCAATAGAAGCATGGACTAAATGTAGTTTTTATGAAATTTTACATCATTTTATCACATAAAATTAAGAATTTATTAAATTTGCAAGGAGTATAAAGATACAAGGTTACGTTAAAAATAATGACAAAGATATTACTTGTTCAAGTTATTTTAAACATCTTTGAAAGAATTAGTAATTACAATTATTCAAGGAACATATGTAATTGTTTGGGGTAACAAATTATAAATAACTTCAATTCTTAATTAAATCACAAGTTTCTATCTATTTATATCTGTCTACCTCAAGATTTTCAGGAAAAATTATAAAATTATTTTAATAGCCCCAAGAGACCAATCTTTGACCCAGAAGCATTGATAGGAAAGATAAGTGCGTCAGAAAGGCAATTAGTGTTTCAGGAGGATTAGTTTTTAAATTTCTTGGGAAAAATAACCAGATGTCTATGAAAATTTGTTAAAGCTAGTAAAATCTGTATGAATGGACACCCATAAAATAAAAAGAATATTTTCCAAAGTTACTTATTTAAGTAATCTTTAAAATAGCCTCGTTTGCAACATAACTTGTATAGGTAATTTTAAAAGTTACTTGTTTACGTAATGCCCCTGACTGTTTTAAGAATTCATGTTATTTCATTTTTTATATTGTCGCTCTGAAAAATAAATATGCTTGAAAAATTAGCCATTGCATACCTAAACTTTCTATCTATCTATCACCGCCATGTAGCCTTTTTTGCACTGATGCGACTTTAAGCAATCATCAACCAAACTATATATCTTCCACAAGGGGAAATAATTAAAATGCTAAAAAATAATACTTGAAATTTTTTAATGTAAAAACTATCATTACATTGCAACAATATCAGATCAACAGATTTTTGTAAATGTTAATAATTAAAAAAAAAATGTCTCTTACATCAGTCACATGACCTCTTTGTACTGTGGTTTTATCTAATTTTTGTGGGTATATTCTTCCTGGTTTGGTGTATATTTCTTTCTATGATAACAAGGCTACAACGATTCTTTAAACATGCAGAGATTGTGACATTCTCTTAAGATGGGATATTGGATTATACCACCCCTTCCATCTATACAGATCACCATTATGTATTTTGGTACACAAAATCATGGCTGCCCTTGCAGGGCATTTGTACTCCTAATATGCTGACACTTAATTTTTATTGCCAAGGGGTCAGAAATAAGACCAGTCTTAACATGTGCCACTAGTAGAGCAGGAACTGCCTACCCTTCCGGAGCACCTGAGTTCACACTACATTTCTTGTAGGGTTGGTGTTGCTTAATCTTTAGTTTACTGTGTAATGTTTTGTGGACATGTTTGTCTTTTCGTTATGTTGGTGTTGATTGCCCCTTTAAAATCATTTCACTCTTTTTGCAGGGATTATTGTAAACATTTAGAATTGATTAACTGGATAAAACAATATATCATAAAACCAAAGCGGTCTTCCAAAAGCAATTACATTTTCAAATCATCATACAAATATGCTATATAAAAATTACAAAGAAAAGTCCCTGTTTGTTGAATTCATGATAAAACCCTTGTCAAAACCAAAAACAATCTCTTATACTGTGCTTAAAAATACCATTATAAGTTCTCTTTCTGACTGAAAAACAACAAAGAGCGGCTAAAATCGTCACAGTTAACACTATTTATTACGGCATCAAATTTGTTTGTCAAATGATGTTACCAATCAATTACTTATATGTTTGCATGTTAATGATATTAAGCTCTGCCTTTTGTTTTGTAAACAATTTTTCAAGAGTACAATTTTCTCTGCTTAAGGAGATGCTGAAGAAATAAAAACAAGTGAAAAATACATTCTTTTTCAGTATTACAAGTCAGAACATTTTATAAAAGTAGTATCTTTAGAAAAAACAGTTTTAAAACAAATCTTTTTGTTTCTTCTACTAAGGCATAAAAACAGTCAATAACCAAGACAAAAATAACTTCTGGATGGACTAACAAAATTAAAAAAAAACATTCTAGAGTAGAAATTCCAAAAGGGAACATAGTTTACAATATTGACGTAAATAAACCATTTATAAGATGTTTCGGCCACTGGCCTTCTTCAGTTTCTTTGGTATCTTTCTTCACTACATGATCATAAAAAAACTGTAAATCAACTCATTTTCGCAGATACTTTTATTCATGCAAATAGATATAAGAAGATGTGGTATGAGTGCCAATGAGACAACTCTCCATCGAAGTCACAATTTGTAGAATTTAGAAATGTAGACGAAATGCGCGTCTGGCGTATTAAATTATAATCCTGGTACCTTTGATAACTATTGTAAAAGTAAACCATTATAGGTCAAAGTACGGCCTTCGACACGGATACCTTTTTTGCCAGTTCTTTATTATTTGATTGTTGATTATTTGTGTTTGCTATTTCCTAACTTTGGTGATGATTTCTTATTAGAATTTAGAAATAGTCATGACGATTTATATTTGCATTATTTTCCTACTCACAAAAGTCACGAAAATAAGTTGGTTTACAGTATAAATATAATAGCTACATCTTATAAATTGTTTATTTACTATAAAAATAAAAATAAAAACATTCAATAAAACATGAAATTGTCATAAAATACTTAAATGATCTATCAGTGAAACTATCCATAATTACAAAATAAAATTGAAAATAAAATTCATCAGATAATTAGAAAATACATGTATGAAGATTTGATACACTGAGCTATAGATAAATGAATGATATAAAATTAAATAATGAAAAGAGAAGTGAGGGTCAATGGGCTATATTTAATTATGCTATTAAAGGGAGTTTTTTCAATATGGCCCCTTTTTCTAGCTAAAATTTCAATTCAGGATTCATTGACTCATAAATATCACAACGACTCATAGATAAATTAAAGACTAGATAGGAAATATGTATTTTTTTGAAAATTTACACATTAATGTTATTTTCATGAAGTCATAATAAGCACGAAAGTTCCATGAAAATATGTTAATTTACATGGAGTTTTGGGACTTGAAACATACAGTATATGCATAAACAAAAAAGATCTATTCACATGTTATAACATTTTACATATCTAACTTGAATATTTAGGTTGTCGAAGCCTGAGCTCTATGTTCCATGCCTAAAGTATTTTTGAAATCCAGACGAATTTTCAATACAGCTTATTATTCATACTATAAAAATAGAGAAAAAAAATCAAAAATCACAAAAGTTAAAAATAACTTGAAGAAAATTGATGATAATACATTTCCTAATGATATATTTAAATTTAAATTTGATTTAGCTAAATGAATTAATAAATTATGGTTTTAAATGTAACTTTATTCATTGTAAGAAAAAATATGGCACAATTAATACAACTTTTTTTACCTATAAGTGTATAAATTGAATGGTACAAAATCTATTAACAAAAATAACTTTCAAATTTACAAAATTTGAATAACCATATTTTAGCAACCATTATTCATGTGTGTTTTCTGTTGACGACAACTAACCTTTAAAATGATAAATCAGCAATATTTTAAATCTTTGATATTTTGTGGATTCATTTATTTTTTTGGGGTACCAATTTTTTGTGGATTGCGGAAAAATTGTATTCTTTGTGGATATTTGGTTTTACCAAATTCTGCACATAAGCCTTAAGGGGGCATTAGCTGTAAAATTCATGTTCACTGATTTGACTCAAATTCTCATATTTGATTTATAACATACTAAAACGTATATCCAAATTACAAAAAGTCTAAAATAAACAATTAACAATGCATGAAATCGATAATATGTATCAACATTTCATGTGTATTTTTGTCTAGACGCCACCTAATTAACCGTTGGATGACTTCCGAAGACTGCCGCCGGTCATATCACCCAATATAAACATAAATATAAGTATAAACAGATAGTGACCACATGCAATTGGATTTTTCTAGGTCTGTTTGATTTCATATTGTAGGTTTAAAAGTATGTTTATCATCATTTTTATCTGTATAAGTATGATATTATTGTGGATTGAATTAGTCAATTTAATGGTTCATCCTTGTTTCAATTTCAATGTTGACATTCTTTTCCTTTTAATAGCTGAATACACATGTAAACCATGTCCAGCTAAGTGGTTGAATTGAAAGTCACATGAATACGGATTCAGTGAGGTCAAATTATTCACTTGCAAGTGAATAATTCATCAGTGACGTTTCTTAGCTTATTTTGACAAAATTGAACCAAATAGGCTGCTAAAAGTGAATTATCATTTCATTATTTTACTTTCATTAATGATTGAACAAATAAAAATCATATTTTATTTTTTTTATATATCTCGTAGCTTATGCCCCTTTTAGAAAATTTGTACTACATAGATATTGAAATTCGTGGTTCACCTATATCTTCAAAATCCATGAAATTGCTATATATTTCTTATTTTCCCAGTTTGGAAGAGCCCTTAGAGAAAAATAATCAGTCCATCTGGGAGAGTATAAATCAGTTAAGAATTAGAGAATATGGTTTCTTCATTTCTCACAAATGTTTCAAAAGCACTAGGTAAAATTCAATTTGATCTTTCATGTTAGGAAATGAGTTAACAGTTGTAAGAGAGGGAGTGTCAACAATATACATGCATGTTCACCTATCACAAGTCAGTCAATAGGAAACACACACTTTTTTCATGTCCTTAGCATCCATATAAATGTACTAATTCTAAGCTAAGCAAGAAAATTTGTACAACAGATGAAATATGTTTAAGCTTGTTACAATGAAATGAAAAAAACTACTTGGCACAATAAATACCCAATTTATTAAGTTAACAATGGTGAATATTTTATGAACATATACAGAGATGTCAGTTTATATGAATTCAATAATTATTGCACATAGATCTATCTTTGTATTTAGAAGAAAGTATGCTTTGAGAGTGTGTGTGGCCTTGTAAGTTTGTCCAAAAATTAAAATAATCAGACCAAATATTTTAAAATTTCAAGGTCTAATGAATAGCAACAACTCGTCTGAACTAAACAAACTGTGCAAGTTTATAAGAATAATTATTAAATGCCTTGAATTTCCTGGGTAACCACTGTATGTCTCTACTTTACATTTAAGGAATAACTGTAATATTTTTTCTGTCTATGAAGAAATAACATCAAAAATGTGATGCACACTGAATAACCCGCGTAGCGGGTTATTTTAAAGTGTGCATCACATTTTTTATGTTATTTCGAATAGACAGATAAAATATTACAGTTATTTCTTATAATTTAATTCTAAATTCCATTTTAAACCGGAGTAAACAATGAAAAAACGTTGATGACGTCAAGGTCACATGACTAAATTATGTCTATGAGCTGATAAACAAAACAACGTCAGCCAATCAGCAGACGCGTTACATCCAAAATTAAATTATTTGTAGTTAACATTTGTACTATGTATGTTAATTTATTTGTATATGTCTCTATACCATTGTACTTTGGTTTACGAGAATAAAGATATATAATACATGTTTATATGAATTCAATGATTATTGCACACAGATCTTTGTATTTAGAAGAAAGCATGCTTTGAGAGTGTGTGTGGCCTTGTAAGTTTGTCAAAAAATTAAAATAATCACTGATGTTGTTTGAAAAATACCAGAGCTGAGATGCACCTAAAAAAATCATTTAAATCCCCATTAAAAAATACAAATTGTTCCAGCCTTTATACACTACATCCACCCTAGATGTAATTTCAATATAAACAATCATTTTTTTCAATTTATATTCATTGTAAAGTTCAATTTACAAATTTAAAAGGATAACGATACAATTTCATTTTAATAACATTAAACATACTGACTATGAACAAACTGGTTAAGTTTGAAAACCTGTTTCATCTTTAATTTGAGGACATTAACATTCATGAGCAAAAGTCTTAACAGTTTTTAGAAAACTGAACTCACTTTTTGTTTGTTTTTTGGTATTACATCCAATGAATAGAGAGATGAAATCATGTGACAACATATAGACCAATCAGATCATACAATGTAATGAAAGACATTCATGAAGTAATTATTTACAATGTAAATATATATTTTAACAGAATATTCAGTAATAAATTGCACATAGTAAAAATAAGCACTCCAACCCAGTTGTCAGGTAGGGCTGTTCAGAAGTTGATGGTGGGGGGGAGGTAATCAAATTATTTATTTGTGAGTTTTCCTTAGAATTTTGTAAGAATTGTATGTAAACATAAAAATTTATATTATGGGTGATTGGGGTTTAAAAAAAAAGTGGCTCCCATCCCCCCATGTGTTTTATTCTGGAACAGCCCTAATTATACACATTCACTGCAAATGGATTTATAAGTCTTTCTTCTTTTAAGTGATTGGTAATGTCACTTTAAATAGCTGAATATAAAAATCAAATACTCTTTTATACCTAGGCATTCCAAATGTTCATCACACAATGTTAAAAGTTCATTAAAATTTTGGATTCCTCTATAAAGTAACCCTTTACTTGACATAATTTTCAGTTACCAGTTAAAAAAAAAAGATCTTTAAAACTACATCTGAAAGTCTGTCAAACACAGTTTGGACCAGCAAAGAGTGAAAATTTACTGAGGAATCACTAAGAACTCCAGGCTAAAATGAAGTTTCACATATATCTTGAATGGTTATTAGCCAATTAAAAAAAAAAGTGATCTATCACATAAATTGACACAATGTTTTATTAAATTGAAACTTCCCCTAAAAAAGCAACAACAATTTACATGTACTTTTTTTTACTGTAAATTTATTTATTTTCGTGGGTACCAATTTTAGTGGATTGAGGATGAACTGTATTTTCATGGATATTTGATTTCCTGGTTTTGTCAAAGTCTGCATACAAGCTTATAGGACATTTCTACTTCAATGAACATTTAAATTTGTGGTTTACTTATATCCACAAAATCCACAAAAATTGGTATCCAAGATTAATAATGAATCCACAATACACATGTATGAGAGTCGTAATGGGGGTACCTTCATGACTAATAACGGTAAAAATTCCTGCCAAACGACGTTAACAGTCATTTTTGGTGCATGACAATAAAATGTACACTTTCTTTTAGATGATAAAAAATTCAACTGATTTTGACAAATCACGTTAAATTTTTTCCAAAAATAACGGTAATTATAATTATCTGAGACCTCTGACGAATCACAATAAGGATATTTTGACGAATCACGGTAACATTTTAACCAATTTGACGCTAACGGTAGCCGAAAATTACCGTTTGACGCCTGACAGTAAAGGGCATTACTACCCTCATGTATGACTTTCAAACAAAACTCTTGAAAAAACATCAATTAATATCTGGATTGAAGTACTACAATTAACAATAAAAATATTTCTTGAATAACATAATCATGCTCATAAGGCAGTTAAAATAATTGCTCTGTTTATCTGATTTCAGTTCCTTCTGTCAAATATAGTCAAATCATAATACATTTTTTGGCATTTCTATATGGAAAAAAGATTTTGTTTTACAAATAAGAGTACAAATTTAATATTCCTGCATTTAATAATTAAATATATATTTGTGAAAAACTTAAATTGAAAAACAAACTAAAATAGTAATTTGTGTAAAATTGGAAGCTTGCAGCTTCTTTGTGTACATACACGTGTAAAGTTATTTGTGTGTGTTGGTTTTTTTTCAAAACCAGCAAAAGAATCTATCTGTACATGTACTATTATGCAGTAAAAGAAAAACAGAAAAATTATTCCAATTACCCTAAAAAATTTAATCATTCAGAACAATCTCAACAAAATATTCATATTACACATATTCAATTACTATCTGGATCATTCCATTTCACAACTTCACTGGAACATACCATTTCACAACTTCACTGGAACATACCATTCCACAACTTCACTGGAATACTTTAAAATTTCAAACACCCGCTACAGTTTGAAATACTGGTTGTATTGTCTGTGTTGAACTTTGTTGTGTCATCAGAAGTTAACTCCCCTTGTTTGGCTTCTTTTGACAGTTTTTTGGCAATAGTATAGAAAAGTTTATCAACATTATCAGCTTCCTTTGCCGAAGTTTCAATGAAGTCCATTTCATATCTGTCAGCAAACTGTTGTCCGATGTGTGTTGGTATTTCTTTGTCATTGATTTTGTCCGTTTTGTTTCCTGTAAATACATGTATTGCAAGAAAAATTTTAAATTAAATTCTGCAGCTATACTAAGAAATGATGTTGACTGGTAAAAATGAGCGAAAATTACTGCACCAACAGCAAAATTTTCAATAAGAAAAAGTAATTATAACAGTAATCTCTACATAAATAAATGTGGATAGTGTCCACATGTGGACACAGATGATGCCCCCGCTTGCATATCATATAGTTATAAAGGGACATAACTGAAGAACGTTAAAAGTGACGCTACCCAAATTTGAACTTGATCTGAGTTTTGTGGTAATAAGCATTGTGTGTAAGTCTCATAACATTTGGTTGAGGCTAACTTAAGTAGAGAACAGAAACTAAAAATTCAGCAATTTTTCTATTTGTAAACACGCATAACTCTAGAACAGTTGTGTATAAGTTTTACAACATTTGGTTGAGACAAACTAAAAAATTCAGCAATTTTTATGTTTATAAAGGGACATAACTCTAGAATGGTAAAAGTGTTGCCACCTAATTTCGTACTTAATCTGTATTATGTAGTAATAAGCATTGTGTATAAGTTTCATAACATTTGGTTGAGGCAAACTCAAGTTAGAGAACTGAAACAAAAAAATTGTACTTGATCCTTACTGAGTTTTGTGGTAATGAATATTGTGTATAGGTTTCATAATGTTTGGCTGGGGAAAACTTCAGTTACAGAATGGAAACTAAAAAATTTTGCAATCTTTCTATTTATAAAGGGGCATAACTCAATAATGGTTAAAGTGACACTACCCAAATTCAACTTGATCTGTGTTTTATCAGTGGAAGTCAAAATTAAACATTGCATTGTATAAAGCATTGATTGTAGTTGATTCAACTATAATCATGGTCAAAGGAAGATAACTCCAATTTTAAAAATATATTATATAAACTTGATATTTAGAAGAAAAATAAAAATTTTGCAATTTTTCCTTTTATAAAGGGGCATAACTCTAGATCGGTTAAAGTGACACCACCAAAATTCAAACTTGATCTGTGTTTTGTGGTAATAAGCATTGTGTATACGTTTCATAACATTTGGTTGAGGCAAACTTAAGTTAGAGAACGGAAACTAAAAATTTTGCAATATTTCCTTTTATAAAGGGGCATAACTCTAGATCGGTTAAAGTGACGCCACCAAAATTCAAACTTGATCTGTGTTTTGTGGTAATAAGCATTGTGTATAAGTTTCATAACATTTGGTTGAGGCAAACTCAAGTTAGAGAACGGAAACCAATTTCGGGACGTACGGACGGATGTACGTACGTACAGACGGACAAGGGTAAAACTTAATGCCCCCTCCGCTACGGCGGGGGCATAAAAAAAGCTGGGTTTCATTATAAATAGGTAAAATCAAGTGTGTAGTTATATCATATTTGTTTTTCATTTATTGTTTTGTACATAAATCAGGCTGTTAGTTTTCTTGTTTGAATTTTTTTACAATTGTATGGAGTGAATCAAAAGTATGATAAACAGATTTTTTATTGAAGTGTGTACTACAATTTAAATAAGACAGACTATCTGTACTTGTAATGTATATAAAATAAGGAAATGTGGTATGATTGCAAATGAGACAATAATCCACCCTAGTCAAAATGACATAGATTTTTAAAAGCAACCATAGGTCAACATACTGCCTTCAACAGTAAGCAAAACCACGAAAAATGCATCTCTTGTTTGATAATGAATTAACAATGGTATTTTTAAACCATGTGTAATCTAAAACCTACCCACTAAGTAACCACAAAACTTTGTACTGGCGTATGTCTCTATTTCCTGAATCCATGTTGGTAATGAATCAAAGGATGCTTGACAGCAGACGTCATAAACCAGAATAAGAGAGTTTGCAGATCTGTAGTAACTTTGGGTAATTGAGCGGAACCTCTCTTGACCAGCTGTGTCCCAAATCTGTAGCTAAAAATAGAAAAAAGTATAAACAATAAAAACAGGGAGAGTTTGCTGCAAATGATTTACAATATTTCACAACTGTGCAGACATTAAGGCAAAACAAATTTATGTATGTTTCCTGCCTCTAGTAAAAAAAATAGGGTGTGTGTGTCAGGATTCTTAGATTTTTTTATGAGGGAGAGGGGGAGGGGTGTTTTGGTCCATCAAAATAACATGGAAAATTACATGCTTTCTCTTGGTCCAATTACTATTCACACAAAAATTCAATTATTCAAGCAAGCACATTGGTTCATTTTAACATCCAATGCTACAACTCTTTCCTATAAGCTACATGTATAAGTTAAAACAAAAAGCAGGGGGGATAATAGCTCTTAACAAACTACCGTACTTACTTTTACTTTCTCTCCATCTATTTCCACAGTTTTGATCATAAAATCTACACCAATTGTAGCACCCTGCCCTGGAGGGAATAGTCCCTGAAATTAACATGATAAATCAGTCATTTATAATTATGTATCTATTAAAGACCATTTCAATGAAATTTTCAAAGAGGCCAGCAGTTCACTAGACATATATGCCTACGACAATTAAGACATGATTCAGCTGTTTGTTTTTTGTTTATCAACATGGGGTTAGTGAAGTAACATCTTATTTACACAATCATATATCTGATGAGCCACAAAATTTCTAAACATTTCTACTTTTTGTCAGAAGGATTGTATATTGGTATTTTTTTTGTTTTTTGTTTGGCTTTTTTTAGGTGATTATAGTTTTTGGTAGCTGCAGTGAACAAAGTGAGAGAAAAAAACAGATAGTTTAAAATAACAGACTGTATTCATAGAAGTGTTGGGATTAATTGTCCACCACTCCAAAAATGAAACAAGTCTTTATCATGTTTATGGCTTATAAAAATACTAGCCATTATTAAACTTTAATATCATCTCAGTATTCCCCCTTTAATCTGGTTTTCAATGTATAAAAGAATCATAAAATACATGTAATAATGAAAGACTCAGAGTATAATCAACAGTACATAGAATGAGATTCAGTTGACAAAGTTATGAAACAACTAACTGAGAGTGTCACACAATATTTGAATGTATAATGTACCTGTGTAAACCGTCTAACGAGACATGTCTTCCCAACACCAGCTTCACCAATCAATACAACTTTAAACAAATACTTGTAATCTTCCATTCTAAAAATAGATATGATATATATATAAAAATTCAAATTGTATCATACAAATTCTTGCAATCAGTCTAATTGAGCATGTTGAGGTCTGGAGCTGGCATGTCATTAACTGCTAGTAGTCCTTTGTTAATTTATGTTAATTATTATCATGATTATCATTTTGCCTAGTTTCTTCTGTGACCTATTCTGACATCGGACTCAGACTTCTTTTAAACTGAATTTTACTGTGCGTATTGCTGTGTGTTTGTTTATTCCACATTGGCTAAAGGTATAGGGGAGGGTTGAGATCTCACAAAACATGTTTAACCCAGCCTCATTTTTGTGCCTATTCCAAGTCAGGAACCTCTGTCCTTTGTTAGTCTTGTACATTTTTTTAAATTTTGGTTCATTTATATGTTTCTGAGTTGTGCGACATCCATTTTCGCTGAACTAGTATACATTATTGTTTAGAGTCCAGCTGAAGCCCGCCTCCAAGTTCAGGATTTTCTCGCTGTGTTGAAGACACATTGGTGGCCTTGGGCTGTTTTCTGCTCTTTGGTTGGGTTGTTGTCTCTTTGACGCATTCCCCGTTTCCCTTTTCAATTTTATAAATTACATTTTGTCACAAAACAACGGGTGAACAGGAACAGCAGGAAAGGAAATGTGAGTGACCATCACAGATTTATTACAACGGTTGAACCAACTTCCAACTTACCAGTTTTATTATTCATTACTATTTTATTTTCATTATTCAACCTACATTTACGACAATTTTTTGGTCAATGGTAAATGTCTGTACAAAGTTGTATGCATAAAAATTTGCTAAATATATGTCCTAGGACTTATATATTAACGTTACATCGTATTTCTTTAATCTTTAATTTTTCAAACCATTTTTCTCTATTCCTTATATATTTTGCCTATTATATAATCTCTATTCTATATTCCTTATATTTGAACACCGCTTTTTTCTCTAAAAACCATATAGCTATTTGAGAATCTTGGACACTAGACCTGAGAATTTGCTGCACTTGTACAATTGACGTCTAACAATAATAATTTTTCCTGTATACTCCATCCAGACCCTCTGTTAGTCCCAGATATGTCTACTTTATGGACATGCATAAAACAAAATCTTTCCAGCATTTATATAAATCTGGAAATAGTATACTAACATATTGTGTTCAAGTACAATCAATCCCTTTTGGGGTTCTGTCTTCGGAGTAACTTTATGATTTGGCCATTCACTGAGTGAGTGCATGTGGGGCCAAATCAGAAAATCGCTCCAGACACAGAATCCCAAAAGGAATTAGTCACAGTAAAATTAAAAGTTACAAAAAAACAAATTAATGAACCTTCTTGTGTACCCTAGGCCTGTACATGTAGTCACATTTGAACAAACATGGTCAAGTGATCCATCAATTTTCCTTTAAGTAAAGTACAATTAGATTTTATAATCAATGCGTAATTAAAAGAAAAACAAAGGTTTTTACACATTTCCTTTCAGTTTCACTGTCACTGTCAGACGGGAAATAATTTATGCTCACCTTACTAACGTTTTTTTCAGATTATTGTGATCGAACCATGTATTATAAAACTAAACTGTTGGGTTTTAAATACTCTATTTATGGGCAGATCATCCTATATTAATTTAGAAATGACTCATTAAAAGACACATTTAAAGTTTTGATTATATATATTCCCCGTCATTATGTTGGTTTTTAATCATCAAGGGGACGTAATTCTTCACCAATAACAGTGATTTACCCAATAACCTAATAACATTTCAAGAAAAGAGAGAGGCGAAAGATATCCTAAATGGACAACCATGATTCAAATTGAGAGAAAAACTGACAAAACAATGGCAAAATAAACGATAAAAAGAAATAACAGTATACAAAACCCTACATAGGAAACTTAATACCGAACAACACAAACTCCATCAAAAACCGCGGAGGCTACTCTCATATATTTGCTCTCATATAACCTGAGATCCTGCTCCATACGCAACCGGACACATCGAATAGTGAATATCACACTCAAAATTTCAAGTTTCAAGTGTTAATATTTCAAGGAGCCAAACAATATGTTATGTGAATATAATAACAATTAAACAAGAGATTAATTTTTATCAATACGACAAATTAAGTCGTGCAGTGAACATTATAAACATATAGTAACATGTGTACAAAAAGTAGTATGTTTTAATGATGACAGCAAGATTGATATGGAAATGATTGTTTTGTATTGTTAAAAAAAGAACTGCTTGTTCAATTTTACAAAACTTAGCAATTTTATTAACATCATTAATGGATCGATCTTTATCAGAAAACCAATAATTATTCCGAAAACATAATCTTATACCTTTTTTAAACTGGAAATTATCTGTGAAATTTTTTTTTTTTTTCAAATACGCATTCAAAGGCACATTGTCTTGTTTTTATTAGAGATCGAGAGATCTAAATTTACTAAGTTAGAGTTATAAACTATGAAGTGGGTTCTCTCAATTAACCTTCTCCCTCCTCCTCATATTTTAAGGTCTTCCATTTAATATACACTCCACATTTTCAACATGTTATTTTTTATGTATCTCTATTGTATTTACTGTTTATTTCTTCAACATATATACCTTTGTATTATTGTATAATGCTTATTATACCATGGAAGTAATATATTGTCTCTGTTATTTCCTTGATGATACCCAGTGATATTTTTAAAATGTAAATATTTTATTGTGTCCCTTACTTGTGTTACTACGGAGCTTGATTCTATTTTCTGAATTCCACCTCCTTTCCGTAACTAAGTTTTACAGAATGCCGGTCTGTTTGTTTTCCCGGGACTGACTTTCAAATATATAAAAAGGGGGTCTTTGTGAAAATTAGAGGAAACAGTATTGACAAGTAGTTTACCGATGACAAAACATTTTATTCCACTGTATGTAAATATATTTATATATATATATATATATATATATATATATATATATATATATATACATATATGAGGGTCAAGATGGGGATTATAGAATAGAGCGTATTGGGACAATACTACGGAAAAATTACTGTGCAAAAAAGATAAAGAAGATAGAGAAAAATAGATGAAAAAAAAAAAGAATATAGAGAATCAAGAATGGTGTGCTAAAATATGAAGAATAAAGAATATAATGGTGTGCTAAAATATAAAGAATAGAGAATAATGGTGTGCTAAAATATAAAGAATATAAAATGATAGGCAAACAATTAAAGAATACAGAAACGAAGGACCCTGCTATCCAGACCCTCGTATATTTGTCACGGTATATTGTAGGATCTTACTATAAATTTAATTGATAACCATGGCAGTCCACATCTTTCTGACGGAAATTGAGAAAAAAAGTTTGTTGCAATTATTTTTAGTTTTCAAAATATGCCAACTTTATCAATTCCGACAATTTATATAATGAAATGAACGTTATGACATACGAATCAGCAATTTCACAAAAAACCTTACAACTAAAGTTAATTATAATTGATCGTAAGTCATGAAAATATCAGTATACTTAAGATCAACTTTAATCATAAGATTTTTTTGTGAAACTGACTAAAATCGATCGTAAGTTATGATGAAATGTTCATGACTTACGAGTATTATTTATCGTGATAATTTTTGTAAAATTAGTCGCAGTATCTTGAAACATAAAAAGCAGATGCGGATTTAATAAGAGAGAGATTGGGAGAGAGGGAGAGAAAAAGTTAACACTATGTAATTCCTGAACCTGCTTGGGACCTATTACAATTTGTTTTCAGCACCTATGTAATACCGTTGTCAGTCCGTCCGGCCGTCCGTCCGCCGTCAACACTTCGGACAATAACTCAAAAACGCTTTCACCAATTTTCATGAAACTTAGGTGAATTGTTTATATATATTGACAAGTTACCTTTCGATTTAAAAAAAACCTGATTTTACGTTTTGGAGTTTTGAGACTTTGTTCATAAAAAGGGGGGTTGTTTCTGTTTTCGGACAATAACTCGAAAACACTTCGAGCAGTTTTCGTGAAACTTTGGTGACTTGTTTATATCTTTCAAATAAACTCCTTTCTTTTTTATTTATTTCTGATATGACATTGCGGAGTTAAAGCACTTTATTATTTGAAAAATCGTGGATAACTGTCCATTTTTCACACTCTTGACGGTTATATAATCTTATTATCCATAACCTATAATGTGTATGCTTTGATAGATATTTGAGATACTTGAAACACGGTCATTGACGTTCATCAGAAGAAGGTGTACTGTGAACAAGAAAGAAATGTAAAGGTGAAAAATCAAGGCCACAAACTTAGTTAAACTTGAGGTATCCTTAAAGTGTCAAATTATTCATGTTTTGTGTCAATGAGTACCACTGCATGCGTATGCATCAGTTTTTTTTTTGGAGAGGGGGTCTATTTGAGCAGTGCTCACAGTATTTCTAGTTGATAGTAGGAATTTAATTTGATTGATTATTACAAACAAACCTTCATAATTAATTTATGCAGCAATTTGTGGTTATACACATACTTTTCATGAAAAAGTATTTTAAAAAAATCCAGAAATGCTAACAATTTCAAGGCAGAGGACATAATTATATTAAGAAATATAATTATATTAAGAAATATTTTCAGGGATTTTACAGGGAAATATTGTCATGGTCAGAATTTCACAGTGAAATATTGTCATGGACAGTAATTTATAGTGAACATGCATGACTATTGGCCAGAAGGTGTGACAAAATTTTATGAACAAGGACAATATTTCACAATGAAATATTGTCCTGGACAGTATTTCATTATGAATTAGTGTCCGTGGACAATACTTAATATGAAATTTTGGTTCATTTATATGTTTCTGAGTTGTGCGACATCCATTTTCGCTGAACTAGTATACATTATTGTTTAGAGTCCAGCTGAAGCCCGCCTCCAAGTTCAGGATTTTCTCGCTGTGTTGAAGACACATTGGTGGCCTTGGGCTGTTTTCTGCTCTTTGGTTGGGTTGTTGTCTCTTTGACGCATTCCCCGTTTCCCTTTTCAATTTTATAAATTACATTTTGTCACAAAACAACGGGTGAACAGGAACAGCAGGAAAGGAAATGTGAGTGACCATCACAGATTTATTACAACGGTTGAACCAACTTCCAACTTACCAGTTTTATTATTCATTACTATTTTATTTTCATTATTCAACCTACATTTACGACAATTTTTTGGTCAATGGTAAATGTCTGTGACTCTATTTTATGTTACACTATCTGATATTGAGCCGTTGTAGTTTTATACTTTGATAAATTATATTGTGGTATTTAGTCAATTAATATTATAAGGACATAAAAATACAGAAAACACTTTAAACATTAAACAAATTGTAATATAAATTTATCATGAAATTTCCTTAAGTTCCTATTTCCTAAAATAATAATGAAAAAAGTAAAACGTAAATAAATGTAACGGGTAAATTAATTGGTTTTTGCAAACTTCCTCCTTTTACCCAATGAAAATGTATTTAACAAATCGATTACGTTGTAGTCACCTGACCATCGCCATTTGTAAAACAGACACATACACGAACATGAAGAAGTTAAAATGAAGAATATTTTAGAACATTTATTGTGATAGACATTTATTTATACATATCCAGAGAATAAGATGGACGACGTTATTGAAGAATACAGAAATTCCCTTGCGGATCTCACGCAAAACAGTAAACCGTTGATAAATATGTTGACCATGTTGGCGGAAGACAACGAAACACACGCTGCAAAGATAGTTCAAGTTATAGAGACTCATTTACAAGAGGTTTAAGTCTTACATATCATTATTTTTTGTCTTTAATTCATTTCATCATAAAATATAACAAAATAATTGCATTGTTATATGTGAAATGAGATCATTGCCCATATGGCCTCTATGACCTTGACCTGCCCAGAGCAAGTTTCAGGACACGCTCTTAAACGGTTATGACGTTTCAAAGCTTCACATACCCGAACAGATATACCAATGTAACAAATATCCTTTTCATTATATAACTCGTCTGTTTAACACGCTGTCTACATGCAATTAATCTAAAGGACTACACTTACAGAACATTGAAAATCCATGACCATATGCATAACACTGACCGTTTTTCAAATACAACCATATTTCATCCCGACACATTAGTGATGATATGTATTTTAATTCAGAAGTACTCCAAAACATTTGTCAATTTGAGTGAGGTTGATTTGTCTGCAGTGCCATGCCTGAGCTACAGGGAATGTTTGTGTTCCTAAAAAAATACTACCAAAGTTTCACTTCAAAATTTTGTCAAGCTTTTAAGATCATTAAAGAAAATGTCAACGATAAAATCAATTTATAGTTAACTATGCTTAGATTAAAAGGAAGCTGTCAACACTTTTCCGATCAAATTGTTTTAAGAACTGTCCAAATTTAAGAAAAGGTAAAATAAAAATGTCAGATTACAGTTACAAAAATGTATTTGCAAATTCCACAAATAACATATTTCTCTGATTTATACCACACTTCCAGTGTTTCAAGTAAATTAATTGGAAATTCAGAAGTAGCAAAATATTGAATGATCATAGTAACTATTGCAGACATTTGGTCAATTTTATCTTCAATATGATCATAACAAGTAGCATAAAAGTTTTAAAAGAAAAAATTAAAAGTTATGAAACGTTTTGTTTTGTCAATTATGATGATTAAATGTGTTGGGCCTAGGCACTGAAAAATCCATTTAGGCAGAGAAAAAAAAAATCTGTGTTTCCGGAAACCCGACCGACCCTGTTTTTTTAGCCCCGACCCTAATTTTTTAATTGGATCTTCAAAAAAAAAATATGGTATCAACCGACCCTGTTTTTGACACAGGCTTCTGTTAATCGACATAATTATTTATCTAACTTGCTTCTAATGGCACAGAAAGCCAGTAAAACATTTTATTTATGTCAACAGGTATTCCAAATAGGTTAAAATCCAAGAAATTTGCACAGCAGGTGCTTCAAAAACATTGCAAATGGCCGCACTTCCGGTATTTGAAACTAATTACGGACCTGGACTTGGAAAAACCATGATAATTTCCGGATTTCGTTTACAATGTCAAAAAAAAATATTCGACCTTCCGACCCTATTTTTCAAAATGATGTTACCGGAAACACAGATTTTTTTTTTTAGGCCTTAGATGGATCTTGTAACTGTAAACATGCATATGTTATTTTTGGCTTTAAAGTAATATAAGTTAAATTTAAAAATTGATTCACTTCATCTTTATCCCATTTTAGTTATATTTTGAAAATTGAAATAAGGTTACTTCATAATGAGGCCTTTAATATGATTCAGTTCTTCGTAACCATTAAAATGTAACAACATTTGAAATGTATTTATATTGCAGGATTAGAAGATACTTTATAGCATACACTGTACATTAAATGTTTGTTGAATTTAATTTAGTTTTTTTTATTAGTGCCCTCATGGATTTTTCTAGCATTCCACAGGGTCCGGTATTCTGACCCATTCCCAATGGCAAATACCCTACATTTTTTCCCAATTTTCGGAGCAAAATTCCCAAACGATCTCAAAATTTATTTTCATCTTTAATATTCATGACAGCGATGTTCATTTTGTTCAACCGCTAGCTTTATGCCGAAAATCGCCAACAAGTAATGTGTAAATCTGAGTAAAATCGCATATGACTGACAAAAACAACATTGAAAAACAATGGATGCCTTAAACCGGAAATGAAGACAATTACAATACCGGGTCAGATTCCGGGGGCAGATAAGGGTAATTCATGGTTTGCCGATCAAATACAATAAAAAAAATAATAATTCCAGGCAGGTGACAAAATACATCTATGATGATGAAATATAAACACTCGAATTGAAAACCAAAAGATATATGGAAAAAAAAAGAAAAAGCAGGAAATATTTTATACAGAAACTCAAAATTACTTTTAGTTCACAAATTTTCATGTCAAAATCCAATAAAATGTGACAGTAATTTTCCTAATCATTAATAAATGTTGATATTACATGTAGATGTTTTTATAGTGTAAACATATAACTACAATTCCAAGAGGTAATTTCTTCTCAATTTTGAAGGGCCAGTAAATTTCTGGAAGTTTCTTACTTTATTTTCACAATAAAAGATAACTTTTAATGAACTAAACACACTAAAACTCAAATCTGGTGTATTTGCTGTTTTCCCAATTTCATTGAAAAGAGTGTGAAAAAATTCCCAAAACTGGCCAGGGTCCTTTTTCCCAAAATACCCAGAAAAACCCCTGGCCCTGACACAAATATCATTTGAACAAGTGCTTTAATTTTATATGCAGACAATTGAAATCAATAATGAATACTGTAAAAAAGTTGGCTATTGTTCAAAACTTTTAGCAACATAGAATCTGAGGAAAAAAGTCTCTGGCATACTTTTAAGCCATTTTGGCAAAGAAAAATACTTAAACAGTAATGAATGTCAATAGTACATGAACTGCCTTAGTGGTCTCGTGGTAGAATGTGATACTCTACTGCTTGATTTCGTTGGTTCAAACCCCTAGTTAGGTCAAATGAAACACTTAAAAATTGGTATTTGCTGCTTCTCTGCCAAGCATGCTGCTTTAAGGAGTAAAAGCAAATTCTGGTTGACTTGAAATCCGAATAAAGTGTCCAGGTAGGGTGAAATGTCTTCCTGCAGACTGTTACCATAGGAACAAGCACGTTAAAATCCGACTCCACACATTGGTCTTGTACATAACAGGCTACATGTACATGTACATGTATATTCATTTTACATTAACACTTGCTATGTAGTTAAATTGCAGCTACATGTAGATATTAAAATAATAAGAAAACAGACAACTGTGAACATACATGTACCGTTATGATTAGATGCATTTAAATCAAAACACTGTCAAAGGTTATTCATAAAAAAATATATATGCCTATTGTGAGGCAAAAAAAATATGTGTGTTTACAGTTGCCCAACCGACCCTAACTTTATTTTAAAAAAAAGGGAAATATTATGTGTGATTGTAATAAAGCTCTTCTTTTAGCAAATCTCTAAATCACTGTGATCTGAGAAAAGCATTTCCTTTATCATGTTTCAAAATCATCTGGGTCCGTGAATGATAATAAATAAATAGCAGTGTTCTTATAACAGTTCAGTCGATGAAATGCAACCATAAACCTAATTTACAAATGTTCATGACAGTTTCACATTGAAAACATTTGGACAACAGTTCAAAGAACTTCATGATGAGATCAATTGAAGAAGAAATAAATCCTGATCTACTGACCTTTTTTTTTAGGCATGCAACCAAAAACGCACCTTTGTTTTTTGGCCGTAGTCTACACATGGATTTCCTTTTTGAAGTTATGGATAATACACATCATTTACACAGTAATTTTGGTTATGTTTGTCTAAAATAAACCATTATATATCAACTGTAAACACTGACAGTGACAACACCTAACCCATACTTAAATGGATAGACAAAATATTTATTAGGGCCCCGCCGAATGGTGGACGCCCTATAGTGATCAGTCTGTCCGTCCGTCCGTAACAATTTGTGTCCGCTCTATATCTAGAGAACCATTATGGTTTCAAAGTTTATACTTGGCATGTATATTAACCAACACCAGAGGGTGTGTCATAATGTATGTACAACTTCCTAGGTCAAAGGTCAAGGTCAAAAACTTTGGTTTTAGTTGACAACCCCATGTCCTATGGTAAAGATTGTTGTCCGCTCTATATCTTGAGAACCATTATGATTTCAAAGTTTATACTTGACATGTATATAAACCAAAACCAGAGGGTGTGTCATAATTTATGTACAACTTCCTAGGTCAAAGGTCAAGGTCAAAAACTTTGGTTTTAGTTGACAACCCCATGTCCTATGGTAAAGATCGTGTCCCCTCTATACCTTGAGAACTGCCATGATTTCAAAGTTTATACTTGACATGTATATAAACCAACACCAGAAGATGTGTCATAATTTATGTACAACTTCCTAGGTCAAAGGTCAAGGTCAAAAACTTTGGTTTCAGTTGACAACCCCATGTCCAATGATAAAGATATAAATTTTTTACCACACATTATTCACAGCGGGGCCCACAGAGATGGCTCCCATCTCAATGAGATCGAGTTATTAATGATTTTAGTACATGTATGATTGCCAATGAGACAACTATTTACCAGAGTCCAAGTGAATGTAACCAACTAGAGGTCTCTATGACCTTCAACAATGAGCAAACCCATGGGCCATCACTATATATTCAGCCTTGAAAAGTCTTAGACATGACAAAATGTAACAATTCAAATGAGAAAATCAACTGCCCAATTTACAACTGTATGACAAAATAAAAGTAAAACAAATGTGACAGACAGCAACCATAGGCCATAATGTTTGCTTTTCCAATGTTGGCTCTAAATTGCATGATTTTGTCTAATAATGGTACAAATAGATATAGGTCTTTTAGTTACAATGTATTTACAAATGTACATGCATGTCATTGGGTTGCTATCCCATTGACATATACACATACCACACTCATTTATACATGATATAGGAGTTATTTTTATCATGCCCTATACGTCCTCATCCTTTAGTCTCAGGTAGAAAGTTGTCACATTGGCAACCATACCACATCTTATTTATATATTTTTGGCAAATGCAATGAAATATAAAATGAAAGATTGATAAGTGGAGTGATAGAAAAAACATTGTTTAGGTCCAAAAATGTTATGGTTGATTCCTTATGTTCTGACATGTCTGAAAAAGCACTGTTTAAATTCCTCATTGAAAG